CAGCTGTTTAATCACTGATACCAGTTCAGAATGGTAACAGAAGTACCGCATGAAGTAGCTGACAGAGGGGTGGTTATTCTTTTGGCAGAAATGCGCAAGTGGGAATTTAGCCAGAGCACTGAGGTTAGCACAGTTGCATTTCCAGAGTTCATACGATCTTAATTTGAAATTGTATAGTTCCCTGTGCTTGTGGGGGCAAGCGCTTGCTTAGCAGAGATAGATGAACCTTGCTTGGTGACTCGTTGGTGCCACTTCTCTCAACATCGAAAGCATTTCTACTTTTTCTGTCCAAATACTGACCGGGCTTGATCTGATCTACTTTGCCTTACCAGTGTGTTCATGCTGCAAGAAGGAAATACTGTTTTAGATGTACTTCCTGAATGGTGAAATACTTTTACAGACTTCTGAAGCTGTAATAGAAAGAAGGTAGTAACTGGTGGAAAATAGGAATCTTAAAATCCTTCAGATTTACTCAAGTCTGATTGGATTTCTTTTATATTGCATTTAGTTAATTGTTTAACATTATTATACTCTTTATGTTATTATAATCTCCAAAGTGAACTGTATATACATATAATGTTGGTCCTGCCTGTGGTCCATTCCAGTAATATTTTAATCAGAGGTTCTTGAAACAGCAATTATTATCCTTAAGAGGAAATAATGGCAGAAATCTTGATTGAATTAACATGTGAAAACTGTAATGGAAACTGTAATGGACAATGTTAACCCTGTAGGATGCTTGCAGGATTTTCCTTTGTTATTTTATTACATTTGAACAGGTAAATACATTATACTTGCTTTGGGTAGAGAAGGAACCGATGGCTATATAACACCTGATAGTCTAGTTATGGTGAGAGAAAACTGTTTGTGGTAGTGAGATTACTTAGAGGTATAGTGCTTCAGGAAGGTATGGCTGCACCATACTCTCTATCACGAAGGCCCCATGTCTGAATCTCACAGCAAGAGCTGATGGTGCTTCCCATGTAATTTTCTTCAAAACTTATCCTAGAACAGTTTTTTTGACATCTCACTTCATATTCCAAAGGACAGGCATTTATATTATAACTGCTGTCAGCGCAGGGCTCCTGGATTTCCTCAAGAGCACTGAGATGTAGAGTGGGGTAGACCTGCTTTATTCCACTCATACATACAAAGCTTTTTTACCTGAAGGAGAAGCCACATGGGCAGAGGGACATGTCATTAACTTCTGCAAGGACAAGCAGCGTACCTGTGTCCTGGGCAATGGAAAGAGTTTAGGCTTCCATGTGCCAAGGCACTTAGTGACAGTGACAGAGCACTGCCTTTGCTTTTGTGAAACCAAGGGATGGAAGTTTAGCTGGGACTTATGCAAACTGCCGGATAGCATGGTGAAGGGAAAGGTGTTTTCCCATTTTCCACCAGCACGGGACCCCAGGCAGGGTTTGCTTTGCAGTCAGCAGTAACTGGTGCTTCTGCTAGGACGCTCTGCATAGAAACCGTAGATGGTTTATTTGGCAGAAGCGAAACTCAACAATGCTTGCAGAGGTCCCTTCGGAGTGGGTGTGAGAAAGCTGACAGGGGACCTCGCTCTTCTGGGCTTTCAGTCTGGTTTGGCTGCACACAGGAGCAATGGGGAGCTACAACAGAGGGTGTGCCTCATATGGTAGCTGCAAGTTCAATTAAATGTACTGTAAATGTGAAGGGGTATGTGGGAATGTTGGATAGACAGCCATACGTATGCAGCTTGAGTTGGTTTTGAGTTGGCAGACTCTGAGTTGTTTTTTTGCTGCTTCTTTGTTCCACAGCTGTTCTCAGAGCTTTGTCCTGTGATTAGTGCTATTCACCTCAGTAACTTTCATTCAGGTTTCCTCTTTTTTTTTTTGCAGTGGTATCAGGACTTGGGGTGGCCTGACATAGAATACCATCAAACGGCAGTATGATAAGCTTCTTTTCTGAAATACAGACTGAGCTCATCAAGCCTTGAAGATCATGGCTTAGGAAGGGCTAGCAAACAGAGGGGGAGGCTACCAGCGGGGCCAGCCGCTGCCCAGTGGGTGGGTGCAGATGAGGGACTTCAGCCCACCTTGGGTGATGGTAGGGTGATGGCTTTTCCAGCCTCAGCAGGCAGACGCGGGCATGTAGCTGTCCTGGCCCCAGGGCTGCTCTTTGTCCATGTCCTTGTCCTGCTCTGCCATCTCTGGTGGGCGGCAGGAGGCTCCGTGCCAGCGGCAAGAGAGGCTTCCCAAACTCCTGTGGGATCTGCGCGATGTTAACGTGGGAGATTCATTGCTCCCTGAGGATGCATAAGCAGCATTGACAAATTTGTTGCAACCCGCGTTTTTGTCATGGTCGTAATGTATGGTGGGAGGCTTGAAAGGTTTAAATAAACACCTATATTAAATTTACAGGTCATATGGCAACAACAGTCCTATTAGTCACTTGCTACAACTTATTTTTGTTGAGCACTTTCCACAAAATCAAGAACTCTGTCTCCTATATGAAGTAGTAGATAAGAAAGCTGCTACAAATAGATAATTTGTTCTTTATCAGCACTGCTTTCCTTCACCCGCTACAGTCATTAGAAGGCTGGCAACTTTAAAACAAAGAAAAAAGTCACACATATATGTGCCCAAACACTGAAGGGCACTGTAAATCTTTAGAAGGATAACCTGGAAGCTGTGTATTTAGCCTTTACAACAGAAATTGTTTCAATACCACGCTGACTTCACACAAAATTTACATTCTTTTAGTTAGTATTCTGTTTAGTTCAAAGTTGCTAAACACTGTAAATCCCATGTAACAGCACAGTGAAGAACTGTGCACTGTAAATATTCAGACAATCCTGTCTGCAAACAAGTCTGCTTGGTCTTTTTTAATTTTTATTTTTTATTACTAGTTCCTATTTTTACAAATCCCCATGCTTGGAAGTCATTTGCATTGTGTCTGTTATTTCAGAATTTGCTTCTTAACATGACTGAAATCCAAAGAGAAAGGAACAAAAAATGCCTTTTAAAGCAAATTGTGAAGGAAGATGAAGAATAAGTTGAAACAATTAAGCCTCTTAAATGAGGTTCTGGTATAGAATTTTTTTTTGAAACATAATCTTTTCATCAGATCATATTGGACAAATATTTCATGCATAACTGGGTTTAAGTCTTTGTGAATATTTCAAGGTTTGCAGTGTAAATGTGATTTTTGAATTTCAAAAGGGTTTATTTCTCCAACAACAGAATTCATTTAATATTTAATAATAAATAGAATAAAAATAGAAATAAAAATCTTTAATTAAACATATTAGCTGATGTTAGATTTTGAAAATATAGCATGATTTCTTTAGTTTAGTCCAGCTCCCTTCAGAATTTGGCCATCATTGAGACAAGCAGGTCGGCAATTTTTCCCCATTTTTTTGTGTGTAAAACAGAGCACCTGAAATTGATCATTTAGAATCAAAATGGTAAATTAACAGGTTTAGAGATGTAAAGAGTATCAAACAGAAGTAAATGACACTGCTGTTTGTGTTATTTTTAATATAAAAGACTAGAGGAAGACATCCCCTGGATTTCACAAAATAAGTTGACCTCTTTGGTGTTCATACAGCAGCAACTGAAAGGATCACATAAATCTGCCAAGTGAAATGTAGCTATTTCATATACATTTAAAATGGATAAAAAGGGTCTATTTTCCTTTTTACACCCGTTGCCACAGAAGCGCATCTGCTCATCCAGGGAGAGAACAGCGTGGAAGGGTGACCAAAAACAGAAGGAAGCAAGCTTCCCGTGTCCGTCCTCCACAAAACATACATATGTCAGAGGTTTTAGTCTTCAGATGTGTTATCATGAAGCTTCTCAGTCTAATCCTGATGTGTATTCCCAAGTAAACTGTTGTGTTTGTGGAAAACATGCACCGAGTGTGGAGAAAAACTCGATACAATGAAATGCAGAGGAAGCATGTGTTCCCACGCTGTGGGTCCGGTTCTGGTGTTAGTTGTTTGGCCATGACTCCTGACGTAATGATGCTGTTTCCTCTTCTGAATAAATTTTACAAGACTTTCTCTAAAGTCCATTATTTCTGGGTTGCCAGAAACACATGTAAGGAAGGGGCTGCTCAGGGGCTGCTCTGGGTACTGAATAGAGGCAGCTGAGGTCTTTGAGTATCCATCTTGCAAATACTGTTGGGTACACTACCTACTGCTAGATGGTGCTTGGTGAACGTGCGAATGCCATTGGGACTTAAGCTTCTCAGCGACAGAATGGCTTTGAAATGATGGGTAAAGTTCCATTGGATTGCCTTTGAAAATATTTTCTGTCTCAGACATTTGTGAAAAAATTTATCGTACTCACTGCTACCCTTGACTCGAGGCTACTCTTGGCTGCAGGTGTTTACATGGTTGGGCCCTGTGCTATCCAGTGTTCCTTAGACCCTGATACCTTTTTGGGAAAAAGCTGTAAAGAAAGCAAAGACCCTCCGTTCTCATGGGGACACTCACATCTCAGATTCACATCTTGAGACTGAGACAAGATAAACTGCTGGGTTGTAAGAGGGTAGGAAATTGCACAGGAAGCTTATCCACTGAACCTTCATATTATGTTCTTGAGAAGAGCAAACCTGTACACTCTAGTGTATTTCAGTAGCTCCTAAATAGCATCTGTGGTGCCATACAGTGTCACTTGTATGGTTTAGTTGTGTCTGCTATATGTATTTGTGTCTGAAATTTTTGGAGGCTTGCATAAACAAACAAGCCCCTTAGTGTAAGACAGCAGTAATATTACTTGAAACTGAGATCAACGCAAATATTTTTCTTTCAAATAAGTCATACTTTCACAAGGAAAACTGTGATGTAGAATTTCAAGTAATATTCACAATTATGTTTTCTTATTTTATCTTAAGTAGAGCTATTAATGATGAATATTGGCATAACCATGATTCAGATTGATTGTGTTCTAATTTTTGCAATATGTTTAATTTGTGTTTTGTTTTTTCTCTCTCTTTCTCTCTCCTTATCTCTTTTCCCTTTTCAACAGTCCTGGTACCTGGGCTAGCTTGGTTCCTTTTCAAGTATCAAATAGAACACCGATCCTGCCAACAAATGTCCCAAATTATGGTTTGAACATAATTGGAGAGCCTTTCCTTCAAGCAGAAACAAGCAACTGAGGGAAAAAAAATATAAAAAAATAGAAGTAAAATTAAAAAAGGAAAAAAGAAGAGAAGACAAGAAAAGAAACTGAAGCAAGAAGAAAAAATAGACCAGCAATTGCAGCTCTTACAATCACTAATTCCCTTATGGTTGAAACTGAAATGACATACAAAGGGTCGATGATATTTCACTGATGGGTAGAATGCAGCCCCTGCTAAGTAGCCTTTGTTATATGAAGTCCGCTGGGAAATAGATGTTCTGTCTCTGACAATATATTTTAACTGACTTTCTAGATGCCTTAATATTTGCATGATAAGCTAGTTTTATTGGTTTAGTATTCTTGTTGTTTACGCATGGGATCACTATTCCTGGTTATCTCACAAAACAAAGGCTAGGCGGCAGCAACAGAGCTGCAGGAGGACAAGGGCCGTGAGCCAGCCATTTTCTCAACACTCTGATTTCTAAATGTTTTAAAAATAAGCTCTGTAGCCTTTAGTTATCAGTATGGATTTATTAAACTTTGACCCTTAATTCAGCCTTTTCTAGTGTGTTATGCAGTTTGAAGTTTTCAATCGGTATGAACACACAGGCTCTATGGAAGAAATGCCTCTACGTAGGTAAAAGTGTTATCTCCTCATGCAACAGTAAAAAAGGAAAAGGAAAAAAGTGAACATTTTCCCCACTAAAGAAACACTTACAGAGGCAAGTGCAATTTAAAAAATCATATCTAAGGGGTCATCACTATAAGTCCTTCAGCCCTTGGACTCTAAATTGAGGGGATTAAAAATAGAAATAAAAGTTACTTTGAACAAACTTCTTTTTCCCCTCAGTTTTTGAGGGCATTAAAAGGCATTAAGTCAAGACAAATCATGTCCTTGAGAAAAAGAAATCAATAGAAACACAGCACTTATGTTGGTTTAGCTGCTGCCTCCACAGAGGGGTAGAATTTATTTATTTAAAGTTACTGGTTGCATCAAGAACCCATAGGGTTTACACGTTTCTGTAAAATCTGCATCATAGAGACAAAGAGACAGGCAAATCCATGTCACAAGGGCAAAGCTTACCGTTTACAAACTGGTAATACCAGGATGGGGATATGTTATATTTAAATAATGCACTCTTAATGTAAGTTTAATTACAGGGTGCTGAAAACTTGCATGGTGCTTTCAGAAGTTAGCCTTGTTCAACAATTTTCACATATTGACAGTAATATAATGTGCATGGGCAGACATTTTGCCTCTATGTCTCTTTAAAAAAAGTAATTAAAATACTCTTTCCAGTAATCCTAATTTGCACGAAGATATAATGTCCACATTACGTGCCTTGCCTTGAAATCTAAAAAATGGAAAAAAAGAAAAAAAGAAAAAAAAACCACAAAAAAATTGACATCACTACACTTGTTTTGCTGCATTTATTATCATTTTAAATCTTTACCATTTTTATGACAAAATATTTTGTACTCCAGATGGGAAAAAGTGTGACATCATGGATTTTTTAGACAGTTATACCTTTATCTCACATTTATAAAGCATATCATGGCTGTGTATAGTTGCCGCTTAAAAATTGTAATCGACCAGCAATATTTTCAGTATTTTGGTGTTTTTTCTATTAACCTTTCATGTTTTTCATCTTCCAATTAATATTGGGGGGAGGGGATACAAATTTATACGAATTATGCAATACCAAGTTTTGCCTATGTAGGTAGTGCTTTTAGCTGTATTGGTTATTATAGGTAAGTACACAGATTTAAAAGAAAAAAGAAAAAAAAAGAATAATGTATGCTTTTTTTGTTTGTTTTAATTGACCAAAGTGGGTACTGCTATTTTTGCAGTGTGATGAGGTCCTTTTCTGTACTGAGAGGTGGACAGGGGATTTTTTTTTATACATACATATATATATATTCTGGGGTGGGTGGGGAGGATTTTTAACACTTTACAGTGTAGCTGTGAAGCAGTGCACCCTTAGCCAGGCAAGGGCTGCAAAGCGACTGTTCTGCCTACTGTGACAAACTTTCAAATCGGTTCCCTCTTTTTAACTTCCCACCTGGGGTGCAAGCTGAAATCATTTCTGGATTTAAAAAATAAATAATGAATTCTGTTGGAGGCAGACTTGACTTGAGGAAATTGTTTTACTTTTTTTTTTTTATTGAGAAAGAGAAAAAGAGAGAGGGAGACAGACAGAGAAAGAGGTCAAGACCCACAGTGAGATAAAGCCTTTTCCATTCTGGCAAAGATACTCCATCCTAAAGTGTTCACATTACAAATTTTTTTAGCTCAGAATGAGAAAGACGCTTGCTTCGTCTAGGAAGTGCATGTGCAGAGCAAAAATCTTTGCTGGCATAATTCCACCGACTCTGAGTTCCTCCTGCAGTTAGTTTTCTCCCTTAGTCTGCTTGACTTGTAAATATTCCTTTTTTTTTTTTTCCTATGGCAAAACATTCTTCCTCCCCCTCCCCCCTTCAAGTTCATTAACTTACAGCATCTGAATTACAATTTTCAGCTTTCTCAGGCTGTGTCAGAGGTTTACAGTGTCTTCTCGTACAGCAGGTCAGAAGGAGAGCTCTGGACTGTAGTGCGAAGGAATTTCTAAATGCATGGAATTAGACTTTGATGTAAATAAAAGTATACTTTCAGTAAAATCATATTTTGCAGATCAGTAGTGGGCCTGTTGCTGGAGTCCTCTGATGCGCTGGGGATCTTTGTGATGAATGGCTCGACACAGGTTGAATTTTTATTAAAAACATTTGCTTTTATCAGGGTGCAAGCAGAGGGATACGGGATACTCTGATTGAAAAATTCATCCCTTTCCAGTTTTCTCTGCTTTTTGGAGGTTTCCCTACCCTGGAGCAGCCCTGAAGGTGCAGCTCCAGGAATAGCCACCCCACTGAGCATGGGGCAGTGGCACACCAAAGTCAGTCCCTTAAGCATATGGAAGATAACAGGCCGTGGTGGTGGCACATCCGCATGTCTCCAGTAGGAGATACGTGATCAGGCAGGGCCTGAATGGCTGCAGAGACAGGAGCCGTAGAAGAGCAAATCCTTGAGATTTGTCTATAGCTAAACTGAAAAAACGAAAACCCCACATAAAAGGATAAGACACCAAAAGAAAATTAAAATCAACTTTATGTTACTCTTCCTCTGAGCCATGTAGTAAGTGAAGTTGTCCACTAAGTACATGGCTGTTGAGGTTACCAAAATGTAAATGGGGATCCACCCAGAAAGCACCTCAGACTCTGGCCTGGTGAAACAAAGTATGTGTTGTCCTTTTTGCATGCCACTGATACCGAGCGGATTGGGAGCAGAGGGGTGTGCGGGAGTCTCTCCTTCCATAGTTCTGTTAGCAAGGTGTCCCCCTTAGCCTTTTAACAGCACACCTGGGTGAAACAAACAAGTTCAGGCTTTAAAGTGTAATAGTCAAAATGATTGCTGCCCTTGCAGGAAGGTGGACACCATTAACAGAGCTTTTTTGTTACCTCTGACCTCCTGTATGAGAAAAATTGTTCTTACAGATGCAATATTTTAAAAAGCAAACTGCTTTTTTCCATGTAAATGAATTGGGTTGTTAAGCAACTGTGGGTTTTTTTCCACCAGCCTCTCTAATAGAAAAGCCTGTTTGGAAGAAAATTAACTTTTCATTTATCGTAGGTTTGGTTTTGGGTTGTTTGGTTTGGTTTTATTTTTTTTTTAAGCTCGGCAGTCAAAAGTTTCAGATGAAATTGAGAACTCAAATCCAGTCTCTGGCCTCCTCCTTCACCAGGAAGTGTATTCTGACTAAATCGAGCCACCCCGTTCTATGTGCACTGTTCTGCCTTTATTAAGTTGCTTTGCAGCCCTGGCCTCATGGCTGTGCCACTGAAGTGTGTTTCCCCTGGAGTGACATGAACGTTTGAGGCTTGACTAAGGAAAAAAAAAAGGCAGTGAAGGAGACTGTACATAAAGACATGGCAAAAATATTAATTATAGCAATATAGTTGTGGGGTGATGTTCAGGTGGGCAGCTCCATTGAAATATGTGAATGAATCTGTGAAGCTGCAAGTAGCGACAAGAAAGGAGGATCTTCTGAATGAACCGCCTACCTTGTAGACAGTAATTTGTACACTGTATAGTTTTGTTAAGAATTTTTTTTTTTTAATTAAAATACCCTTGTTTGTAAAGCTAACTTTTTAACAATTACAATGGAAATGCGTGTCATTTCCATTTTTAAAGTAAACAAGAATATTCCTTGTTTGGAGACTGGACTTGGGTTAAAACTCTCCAGTTTCTTAATTTATGTATTAAAAAATCTGTCCATGTTAGGAGTTATTTCGCAGATTCCTATGCTTGAAAAGCATAGGTCACTAATCCTTTAAAAATGTAAATGGAGAAAAGTTATATTTTATGAAGGTTATTTTGTTGTATTTAGTATTGGAAAAGTTGGTTTTCAGAGCATTTCAAAATGTTGGAAGCACCACTGTCTTTTTATTAGTATATATGGCCTTTAGCAAAAGTTTTTTGTGATTGTTACATGATGGTATTTAAGATTAGGTTCACAGAGCAATTCAGGATAGGCAGAGAACTAAAACAGTACTTATGTCTCACATAGCTGTGTCCTCAGGGAGCAGAATTTTGGATTTGCAACTTGTAGCTTCATAAGGACTTAATGAAAGAGATTGCACAAGGACATACTCAGCTGTGACACCGGAGTGTGTTCTGTACCTAAATCTAAATTGTATTTACTGTGTGAGATTATGAAGGCTGCAGAAAGTTATCCCATATTCAGTGTACAGTATTCACTTTTAATGAAACAACTCTCTTAATGTTGCTGGCAGTAAGGCCCAAGCATGACATCCAATAGAGTTTACATGATCCTGTCAAGGTCTTTTGTTAACATTAACCAGCTGCATGCTCCTGGACTTTTTTATCTGGTTTCTATAGAAAACTTTAAAACGAGAGAGGAAATTCATATGCAGGCTAATCAAGCTAAACAGGAAAAGCTCAAAGTTGAATGTTCTACTCCATGCTGAAGGGGCTGAAAACTGCCTCCTTCTTATTTGCACTTTCTGCTATTTCCCCAGTTTTTTCTAATTCCTCAAAATTGTGTGGGTTTGGTGGAGCACTGCAGTTGGAGAATAACATGGACCACTGATTTTGCCCTTTAACCCTGCACAATGACCTTTGCATCAGCCAAACTTATTGCCATGACAACTCTTTGTACTGTTTCCATGCCACAGCTCTGTTGGTCACATTGTTAATAGTAAAGGGGACAAGTTGGAGACGGTCAATTTTTACATTTTTTGTTGCAATTTTTTCTTCAATGGTTGTAAGTAGTTGTGTTTTGTTTTTTTTTTTTTATGATAAAAGGATTCACTAGTTATTACTCTTTAGAAATATCTGTGTGTTGCAATTCAAATGTATGTTGAATTTGTGAAAAGGGCTTCAGTGCCACTAGCATCATAATATCCTAGAATAAGCCTTTGATACTTTTATTGCATGATACGTTAACAGTAAAACAAAAGGTGGCCTAAATAAAAAGAGCAGTGTGAGCTAGTGACACTAAAGCCAGTCTTTGTATTACTGTATTTTTGACAGAATGGTTTTGAAAACTGTGCTACAGGGACTGATGTGGCAAATGTATCTCTATATGCAGAAGGAAGTTTTTTAAGAAGTATGGCTTATTATGCATTCTTCATTGAGGGCATTGAAGTTGCATGGACTGATAAAAGTTGATGCAAATTGAGAAAGAAACAAAAACCAGCAAAATGTTTACCAAAAACTCAAACAAATGAGCAGTGCCTGTTCAATTTCACAGTCTCTGTTGAGTTCAGTTGTAAATATGTTTCAGATAACATTTTCTTCAAAAAAAAAAATATCTACAACATTGTAGAATGTGAGGGGTTCCTCAGTCCCAGGCATAGGCTTCTCAAGAGCTGCATTAGATTATATCTTCATCAAGCTGTTAATTTGTGCTTATATCATATAGAACTTTTAGTAAGCTGGGAAGAGGCACCCCATCTCAATGATATTTCTCTGAGAACAACTTTTGTAGGGCTGTGTGTTTCTTTAGATACATTTAGTACAACTGTAGGTGACAAGTAGTCAGTTATTGCTTGCTAGCTACACACCAGGGTTGATCCATTTTAAAACTTTTGGCATTTTTCCCCATACTGTAGGCCATAAATCCTGAAGGTTACATTTTAATTAAAAAGGAGGTGCGTGCACAGTCTTTGTGTAATGAACCTTCACTAGTAGGATGCATTACAGTACAGCTACTTAATTTTGGAATTAGGGCCCTCTGGCATCAGACCTGTTTTTAGCCTGAGTGTTAACAAAGGTTTTTATTGTGCCTGGTTGGAGGATAATAATGTTCTTTTTGGTACTTTTTCAGGTTACAAATGAACTCAACTGCCACAAGTTTTAAACTGGTGTAAATCAAGCTTGACTTAATGTGATTGTTACTGTTATATCCAGCCTATACTGCTAGCAGCTGCTCATACTGCAGTCAATTACTGGAAGCGGATATATTTCCTATGCAAAAACTGTTTAAACAATAAAAATGAGCTATGCTACAGACCCTGGTCTTACGGTGATTTTTTGTTTTGTTTTGTTTTGCTTTGTTTTCTGACAGTTGCAATTAGTAATATCTTGGAAACTAACTTTAAACCTTGCACCCTGATAACATGGCAGAACTTACAGAGTTCTGTGTATACTTAGTTTGGATTTAACATGTTTGTTTGCATAAATTTTGGCTTAGTGGTTACACTGGAAAAAGGAGAACAGAAAGAAAAGGAGATACAATCAGATAATCAGCTCAACTTAAAAGTTTATATTTAGTTTTAATCATCATGTTCCACCAGCTCTAGTAATTACACAGGTGACCTGAACTGCTGCTCCTGTGATGTAAGATTGAGCATGATAGCAGAAGGGCAGGAGATCTCTGTTTTGTTTCAATGTTATTGACTTGTGACAGATAGTAAATCTTTGATTTCTTAGCAGCCTTCATGATAATATTTTCATTAAATATAATCAGAAAGATCCAATCTTCCCAAAAGTCTTCCTGACTTTAGCAAGCTTTGGCTTGGGTCAAGGTCCTTGAAATCTACACAAGAATTGTTTTTCATACATGTGTATTAGCTGTATATATGGGATGTTTCATTCAGCTCATGTTCCTGGAAATACATTCTTTTCTTCTTAAACCACTAGGAATCCATAAACCAGTAGCAACAGTCAGCAAAGAGCATGAATATGGTCAAGAGGTGACTGGATGACAGTGTAAAGACTTAAACTGGATTAAATTAAAAGCCTCATTTTTTGCTCCATGAAACAACTCTCCATCTACTTGGATAAAGATAATCTGCAGGTTCTAGACCATAAGAATTCTCCAGTTTCAATCACTAGTGTGAAAAATGCAAAATGGTTTGTTATTTTTCCCCACTGGTTTGTTTACACAAAGATCGTTTGTTTATTAAGTAGACTCATTTTTCTGTGAAAGGCCCATCATTGTATGTGTGTCTCTGTAAAACAAAGCATCAGGCCCTGAAAGTTAGGAAATTCTACCCAATTGTCCTGCTAGAGGTTCCTTGAATGCTGTCATTTGGACAGGATTGGAAAACTGACTTCAGATTCCATGTCCAAAACTCCAAACCAGAAAAACTTCCCGTGGAACCCAGAGATGCTTAAATTCAGTCCCACTTCATTTTTCCGATAAGGAAATTCCCCACTTCTGCAGCCCCCTGGCAAAGTATCCCGCTGCTGTGTACAACCCACCAGAACCCTGCAATGAAGGGTGATGCTTGCTGACATGACTTTGATCCTCCACCCCGTGCATGCCAGCTGCATGGTGGCACTGATGACAATAGTCCAGGACAAAGCATGGCAGCTGCCTGCATTTATCCATAGCGCCAGTGCCGCAGCCAGGGCTGCGATGCCATGGTCAAGATACTCAATATAGTGCCTAGGAACACCAAGATACAAGGAGCAGGAATGAGAGGATGCAAAGAAGGCCATGACTTGCAACTTCATGGTGAGGGCATGCTGAGGGGGGAGAGCTCCTGATTCAGGCCTTTCTGCTTTCCCATTTGATATGTTTTTGAAAAGAAGTGGACAAACAGTCCATGGACTGCTGTTTAACGTCTTTTTTTAAATTCCAGTATTGCTTCTGTGTGTTTTCCCATACGCTTAAAAGCTTCTGAATAGAACATAAATCTTGCCGCCATCTCCAAACACATGTACAAGCTGCAGTGTGCAGTGTCACCTCCCAGGTTTTTGCTGCTTAAGTCATTAAATGAAGTTGTTAAATTATCTTTGCTGTGTGGGAGTTTCTTTGTGAGACTTATTTTTCTTTCTATTCTGGTTACTGGACTAAATTTATTTAGTATAGCTGTTTTTCAGTCAACTTCCCTCTAGCTGAAATCAAAAGTAATCTCAGCTTCTTGCTTGTGAGCCTGAGCTTATGGGCATCTGTTTCCTTGGGCATGAAGGCACTGAGTCCTAGAGGACCCTTGGGACTGTTTAGCTGCCAGACTCTGAGTCACATCCATGTGTTTCTATGAAGAGAAGATTGTTGAATGCTCAGGACTGAATCAAAGGCCCTATAGGGAAAGTGGAGGAATCAAAAGCTCATTGCTGCTATCCAGGTAACTCTCATGCCCCTTCTCACAACTCCACTTAAAAAACCATCAGCCATAAGTCTTTCTGGTAAGGTAACTACTGGATAGATAGGGTGTATACGTCATCCTGAAGAGTGGCAGAACTATGTCTACTGAGACTTAACAACAGAGCAGTCTAAGGCAAACTGTTGGCATTGTTGGTCAAAATTTGACAGATGCAAGCAGGATCTAGCAAAGGGAACTTCATTAGAAGATCTATCCTACTTCTGCCTCACAAATACCTCATTAGAGCAACCACTAATGGCTTTTTTAAGGTCCTTACTGGCATGAGATTAGCCACTATTACCAAAGCCATTATAGACAAATATCAATTGACTGTGCTGCAAAGATCTATCCAAAGCTGTACAATGATTCAAGTGTGTCTTGAACTCAATTTACTTTTTATGGCATTCACCATTATGTACTGCTCTGGTCAACTTTTCTAACTCTGTTCAGAGTACCAGCAAATTCTCCAGACAGAATGAAATTAACAAAGTTAAAGGATGCTACTTGCAGAATATGAAGCTTTAAAAAGTATGGGAGGTGGTGGCAAAACCACCATTCCTTCATCTCAAGCTTGACTTGCAGCTGACCTCTGCACATGCTATTACTATCTTGGTTTAGGCCGAACTGGCCTATTGCAGGCAACAGATCCTCTCCCCCCACTTCTCAGTCCAGGAGAAGAGGAGGAGAGATAAAGAGATTTATGAGTTTAGAAGGAACTAAACTACTTTAATGAAATATTAATAATAAAATAAAAAGTAAATAATGAAATAGATACTATATACAAAACTCTGTCAAGTTCCCTAGATAAAGTCACTGGCAGGCATTGGGGATGTCCCAGACTGGACTTGGCAATGGATGTGAACCGGTTTCCAGCTCTGGAGGCAGGAAGACACAGATTGGGATCAAAGACAGATGAACATACAGGGTCCTTCTTAGACATTAGTCATTGAAGATAGAGGGTTTTGATCCCTCAGCATTTACACTGAGCACGGCAGATGGGATGGAAAAACACTGTGGGTCAGGTTTGGGTCACCTGTCCTGTCTGCTCTTCCCTGCAGGTGGGACCCCTCTACGCTTTTCCACTTCCGACCCTCCAAGGGGGAAATAAAAAAATTGGCTGACCTTGGTTGTTATAGCGATAAGTATAAGCAAGAACCTCTCTGTGTGCCATTCCTTGGCATAAAGTACAAATATTGGTCTTATCACTCTAAAAGCGAACAGTTTTCTCCACAATATGCTGTTAATTTCAGAGAGTTAGAAGAAGCCTAGTTAAGAAGTAAAACTACCAAACAGAAAGTTGGTTCTGTTTTATCTCAAACCAGGAAGGATACCTAAATAGAACCTGCTGTTTAGAAAAAGACTGGGGGGAGGGGGAGTAACCTGGACCTCTAGGAGGTTGATTTGATGCCACTGAAGTCAATAGAAATCTCTCAGCTGTTTTTTAATAAGGATTGGACCAGGCCTACGTTGCTCTCAAGGGACCTTAATTCAGGTGAACGTGGATTTCCAGGTCTTAACATGTGTGTTGTTTTTTTTTTTTTTCCCCTTAAAGCAGGTGCCTTAGGGTGAAAGGAGGTGTTCAGAGCAGAACATAACTGTTTCTGCTTGCTAAGCTGATGATCACTACTAAAACAATGGTCTCCAATGACTATATTTAGCTGTACTACAGGCTGCCAAAACCAGCACACATTGCTGTGGGCAGACAAGCAAGGAACAACAGGACTGGGGCAAGGATAAAAGATATATCTCCCCATAACTGACAAGTCAAGCATTGCAGCACTGTGAAGCTGGAACCATATCAATTGTAAGAGCTGTCTATTCAATTTTCAAAAACTCTCTGATCAGATAATTATGGATGTTTCAAGAAACAAACGGTGCCCCCAGATAGACCACTGAAATGCCTCTGAATGCAATGAGGTCACCCAAGGGTAAGTGGGGGCTTTAGTACTTAAACATTTTTCAGACATAATTCTGGTTGTAAAACACTTCTTTCCCAAATTATTTGAGATTGAAGTATTTCCCTCAGTGTATTTCTCTTCTGCAGTATATTGAAAAATGTCACAGTTACTTACAGTGGATTTGCTTCACAGCCCAGAAAGCTTGGATCTGTGAAAACCCTCAGAAGTTGAGTACGTTTTTCTGTTTCATGAAGACAAGATAAATTTTTTTTTTTTTTTATGATGGCTTGATCTCTCTCTACCTTCCTCCTGCCTTTTAAAATAACAGGATATGAGAATTCACTTTGTATGTAATACCTAAAATGCCTAATGCATGCTAGTTTGTTTCAGTTTTGAACAAGAGAGGAGGACACACACCATAATTGGCATATAATACCCTTATTAATAAAAAGATAATATAACATTGTCAGCTCATGTCCAGCTTTTCATCCACCAGTACTCTCAGTTCCTTCTTGGCACGGTTACTCTCTATCCCTTCATCCTGCAGCCTGTATTGATACTGAGGGTTGCCCCAACCCAGGTGCAGGATTCTACACTTGGTGTTGTTGAACCACATGATGTTCACGTGGACTCACTTCTCAAGCCTGTCCAGGTCCCTCTGGATGGCATCCAGTCCCTCAGGTGTGTCAAATGTATCACTCAGCTTGGTGTCATCTGCAGACTTGCTGAGGGTACACTTGATCTCACTGTCTGTGTCATTGATGAAGATATTAAACAAGACTGGTGCCCATACAGACACCTGAGGGACACCACTTGTCACCAATCTCTATCTGAACATTGAGCTGTTGACCACTACTCTATGGATGCAAACATCCAGTTCCTCATCCACTGAACCCTTCAAATTCATATCTCTCCAATTTTGAGAGAAGGATGTTGTGGAGGACTGTTTCAAAGGCCTTGCAGAAGTCCAGACAAATGACATCTTTAAGCTCTTCCCTTGTCCCCTGATGTAATCACTCCA